TTTAAATATAGGGTAACCAATCATGTACCAATTTTTGGGTGCTTGTGGGGGTGCTAATCCTTCCCCACGCGTAACTGACCCTCAAACCTAATTTATAGATTTTTCCCAGACCTTAAAACTCAGTATTTTATTAAAATAAAATGTTTTATTAAAATCACTTGGTTTTACGGTGTTCCAATCTCACCTTAAATGATTGGTGGCGACTCCTCACATTTTTAAACGATTTTCAAAGAGAAAAACCCCCGAGTCGGTATCGGTCTTTCCCCTCCCGGATAACTTTTTGGGAAACGTGGGTTTATCCTAGGTGCCCCTATCACATTAAAACATTACATTCAACATGTAGTCTCGATATGCATTGTGATTACAAGTTCTAGAATATCCTAATTAGTTTGGCACACACAAGTGAAATAATGAGCAAGAAAGAAAACGTATCCTCGTTAGGCCAAAATCTCACAAAAAAAGTTTATGTGCGTTGAGTCAAGTTTATCTCTATCGACAAAAGCATGAAATATCAATACTCAACAAAAATTCACTAGCTATATCAATCACCAATCATGCAAATTAAATTCAATAAAAAACATGGTCATAATCGAAAAGGAAGCAAGAGTATAAAGCGAAATTCAAGACTAACAACCAACGATCCTAACATATCAACATCAGAATAATTCAATTTCAAACAATTAAACAAATCAATGACAAATTTGACGACATGTTTATCCTTCCTCACCTCACTTATTCTGTTTTGTCCCAAAACATATATCAAATTTAAAAACAATGAGAGGGAAAAATAATATTCCCCAATCTAGTGGCGACCGCGGCTACGTGGAGACGAGCTGTTGTAGAGTAGAATGTCTGATATTGCACTGTTTTGTTTGAACTTTTCTGTACAGTTCGAACCAAATCTGTTTTTCCTACACTGTTTTTTTTCTGCACTGCATTGTTCGAATCTGCTGTGTATTTTTCTGTACTGTTCGAAACAAATCAGTTTTTTCTGCACTGTTCTGTTCGAATTTTTCTGCACAGTTCGAACCAAGTCAGTTTTTCTGCACTGGTTTTTTCGTTAAATATTCGATCGGAATTCGAATCTATTCAGAGAAAAATAAAATAAAATTAATTAAAATAAAATAAAATAAATAGAATGAAAATAAAGTTTGCTAAAAATAAAATAAAATAAAACGAAATAAAACGAAAATAAAATGAAATAAAATAAAAAATAGAATGAAATGGGTTGCCTCCCATCAAGCGTTTTTGTTTAACGTCGTTAGCTCGACGACCTGATTTTTCAAAGTGTGGGTTTCTCTAAATTGATTTCTTTGATTAGACTAACCGGAGCATTTTCATAATACGGCTTCAGTCTCCGGATTTGATTCTACTTATGAACTTTGCTCTTGTTCTTCTTATCTTTTTCTCTTTTCTCGAAGCGTTTGTGCGTGGATTCTTCGTGCTCGTGCTTCGATCTCCGGATCTAGATCTACTAATTCACATGGGTTTCTTCTGGACATAAATCAAAAACTAGAAAAATAGATCAGTACTTGCCGTTAGTCCCCGACAATGACGCCAATTTGATAACCGTTGTTTTGCTATCAAAATAATTATGGCTTCTTTAACAAATAGAAAAGGAAATTAGTATAGAGAAGCAGGGTCGATCCACAGGGACTATGATGTTTCTGATTTAGTAAAACTCTTTCTTGATTTTAGAAGAAGATAGAATTCCATATGAAAATTGAAATTATAGAATAAAATAGAATAAAAATAATAAAATAATAAATAATGATTTTAAAAATAGTAATAAAGATAAAAGGGATTTTTTAAATTATTTAAAGAAGTATAATGAGATAAAAATTAAATAAACAAATAAATAAAATAAATAAATTGAGATAAAAAAACCTTATGGTGAAAGCAGCCTCAGACTTTAGCTTCGCCTCAAATTCCTCGGATCATCGAAACAGATTTTTACTTCAAGATTCACGTCAGCTTACAAGGACAATTCTTCACTGCCAACTCGGATTATGTCGTTCAACAATAACTGATTCTGATCTCAGTTTCCTCTCAGCAAACAATTTTGTTAAGTGTGTTATCGGGAAGTTGAATATGCTTCAATAAGAAAACCTTATTCAAACGTTAACCATAACAATATCTGGACCAATGTCGAAATTGTTTTGATTTAAAAAGTAAGCTCAGAAAATAGAGAGAAAATCCGAACAATTTAAGTACCTTATAATTCTCACGTTTGGAATTGAGCCTTCGCTTTAGCCTTCGGCTTGAAATAAAATTAGCTAAGCATGACCAAAGTCATACTTAGCATAATTGAAAAGTATGTGAAAAATAGAGAGAAAGCTAGAGAGAAAAAGAAGATTTTATTCTCAGATGAGAGAGATATTTTTATAGGCATACCCTTAGAGGGTATTTATAACCTTCAAATTCCTAAAAACAAGCTAAAACATCTTAAATCCTAATTAAAACACTTAAAACTATTTAAACTAAAATATCTAAAACAAAGATAAAATATAAAAAATAATATCCTAAAACTTAATTAAAATACTAAAACCTATTTAAACTAAAATACCTAAAATAAAGATAAAATATAAAAATAATATCCTAAAACTTAATTAAAATACTAAAATCTATTTAAACTAAAATACATAAAACAAAGATAAAATATAATATTTAAAATATTATCCTAAAACTTGAGTTTAATTCAAATCTGAATTCCAAAAACGTGCGGCCAATTCATTCGTTCTTCTAGAAACACTGACTGGATCTTCTAGAAGGTGCTGACATCATCGCCTCGTCAGATGTTTCATGCCCACTAGTTCAGCTTCAATTTCGAAAAAAAACTGCAGAATTCTGTCCTTTTAGTGCAATTTCCAAAATCTAACGTCATGTACAGAAAATGAATGAAAACGAACAATTAAGCCACAAAAACCAATGATTAAGGAGTAATTTAAAAGAAAAATGTTAACTAAATTAAGCACTTATCAGAAGTCAACCGTGTTGACTCTAATCCAAGAGAATGGTGGCTCGATATTGGTGCCATACACCATATTTGCTGCAAAAAGAAGTTATACGGGTGTGCAGTTTCGTTGTAGAATTATGGATTCCACCCTAGGTAGGATATAGGGGTGCATAAGCTTCGAGATGTAGCCTCTCAACCTCACCATGATGCCTACACCTATATGTATGTTTTAAATTAGCATACTCGTATGCTAATTGTTATTTTATAAGAATGTAAATTAGAGGATGCATATAGTATAGTTTGGTTATTATTGTGGCACTGAGCTTGTGAGCTCAGCGTTCAGAATTTGTTTGCGTGCGCAAGTTAGTAGAAGGAGCCATCGCCTAGACCACTTAGCAGCCAGCCGCCAGGTTTTGAGTATGTCTCGACTTATTTATTAGGGGGCATGCATTGTAAATGGACCTGTTTATGTTGAGTTAAAACAATATGTTTGAATATTTTGTAAATTGTAAATTCAAGGCATTTTGGGGGCTCTCGTATCTGTAAACAAGTATTCTGTATTTATTTTGTTGTTTACGTCAATATATGGATTTATGTGAATGAATATATTGTTTTAAAAGGGGAAAAATGTGGGTCAGCCACTTGTGGTCCGTGTAACATTATAGTCTGTCGATCTTCGGGTCGTAGTGGATTAGGGCGTTACAGATAGTGTTTGATCGACCAAAAACTTATCTCGTTATCATTCATACTATAGATATAGTTAAATATATATAGCATTATATTTTAAAAGATAATGGACAACTATATAGACCTAAGTGGTTAAAGGGATGATTGTTATTCCTAAAAGTTCCGAGTTCGCGCACTAGTAACTGTAGGATATTTGAGCGTTCATTGTTAAATGACGGTTGAGAGTATTCAGAACATATACTACCACTTGTAATCACCTTATATTAATAAAAAAATGTTTTAATTTATAAAATTAATTAATTACAAGAAGATATGGAAATAGGATTGGGGTTGAGAAACTTGGAATCATTTCAAGTCTCTAAAATACAAGAAAAAACATGAGGGAAAACAAAGAAAAGTAGGGGAAATATATATAAGATTAGAATCTTTCCTAAAATAAAATAAAAATATCATAGGCATAATATATAAACAAAACATGGTTCTACGGTTCACTACGGGGACTTTAGACTCTTCTACAATGAATGTGAAAAGTGACACATTAATACAAACAAACCCTAAAATATTATAAAACCACCCCTAACCATAATTAACATAAAATATTATTTCTTTTATCACCTTATTTTTTTTCTAATAAGTTAATTTAGTGGTCCATCTGTAAAGTCATGCAGTGAGCAAACATCCTCCTTGGTTCATTTTACATTCTTTCAACTACAGTTGTTGCTTTAATCCATATTTATTATATATCTATTTAGATTTGTTCCCCGAACCGCTATTTTGCATTCACATTTGCTTTTAATATGTATTGAGTTTTAAAATTATGGTTAGTTTGACACATTTGATTTTTATTTTATAATTTATATTTGAATTTTTTTAAAATTTGAATTAAGAATTTCTGCATGAACCAAACGACTTAAATGATAAATGAATTATTGTTATCCGTTAAGTTCTTCGCTTCCTCTGTCATTTAAAGAATCAAAACCCCACCAACATATCAATTTTATTTTTCACCTTGGGATTCGACAATGAACATCGTACGACATTCACGGGGTCGTGATTATCCTCCATGCACAAAAGATTTTGATTTGAGCTTTTAAGTCATATTAAGACAGTGAAAATAATAATAATCATTGTCGTTATGGGTAATTTTTCTTTTGTCCAAAGCAAATTTCCATGATTTTTTTTTTTCATTTTTGGCTTCTATCAATACTAATGTTGGAGTAAAAAAAAATTCGCAAAATGGAGAAAACGTTTTACCATTAGCCTTTCTAAAGCTGTTCATATGGCAGCCTTTGGTTTTAGTACCCCGCCCCCTAAGTGGTCACAGTCTCCTTTGAACTTCTGTTGAGAAGAAAGTTGTTGAAGCCAGGCTTATTTGTAAATTACATTATTCTGGTGAAACCAACAGTTATTTTTCTAGTACAGCTTATGGTAAAATACTGGCCTAAGAAATGGAAAACTGCAGTACTAAAAGGGAATTAGTGGCAAAATTAAGCGATTTCAAGGTTAAAAAAAAAAGGAAAGAGGAGCCTTCATATATAATATGAAGGTGGAAATTACAGTGGGATTATGGAATGAAAAACCACAGTGAATTCTCAATTCAACATGGCATCTTCTTGAATCCTGCCTAGTAACTGGTTTACTGCTGTAGCAATGTCATCCACTGAAGTCAGCTTACAATCATCTTCTACCTGCATTTTTGTTGCCAATTATATATATGTATGTATGTACATATGTGTGTATGTATGTATGTATACTAACCTTGACACTGAGAGAATAATGTACAGTTTGATCAACTGTAGTGACATTGAGATGGAGGATATTGAGACGCATACTGCTCAAACCTGAAACCAGTTTCAAGAGCTGTGCCGGTCCCTTTTTCGATCTTATTTTGAGGTTTGCATGGCTCTCCACCATGGTAACTTCTATGTCGGCTATGGCGGATCGATTCTCAGACATCGATTCGGTCATCGGGTTCGAATTATTATCGCCCCGAGTCGAGTACTGTGGGAACGTGAAGAACTCAGCAAAAGGTGATGAACAGCATCTTGTACTACTACTTCCATCTGAGCTTTCCTTCACCTCTTTCTTAGCACTAAGCAACTGAACACAGTGCTCAAGCTCCTTCACAAAATTGATAGCTCCTCCAATTATTGACGCTTGATCACCCTAATCAAAACAAAAAACTTATGATTATCTCACACACACACACATATATATAACAAGTAATGAAATGAAAAATACCCTTTGAACATAAGACTCTGGCATGAGTGAGCGAAGGACAGAGAGATATTCATTCATTTGCCTTCTCCTATTGCGTTCAACAGCAATGTGAGTCATCCTTTGATTCTCAATCTCTTCCTTGTTTTTACGAGTTTTGAGTCGACGTCTTTTGGGACGACTCGAGGTCACCGTCTCGAAAGCCGCCGCCGAATCGTCGACGACGACGGAGGATGATCCATTTACATTATTGTTAGTAGCCATTGAAGTTGGTGAAGAAGAAGACACCCAGTAATCTCCGTTAACAAAACTAGTGTTAGCATCATCGGATGTCTGGTTGTAATAAAGCAAATGATTGTCCTCTTCATAGCTCAAATTTCCTCCTAACAAGCCGTAGAGTTCTTTGTTGCTGTAACCAAACAAATCTTGCTGGAAAACTACAGCTTCTAGTGCCATTTTTCTTCTCTCTTTCTCTTTCACAACAAAACCTAAAAGAAAGGTTTTATTTTTATTTGTTTAAATAAGATACCCAGAGGCCAAAACAAGAACAAAAAACCAAAAAGAGTTGGGGGAGATGCCTTGAGGGTTTCAACTTTGGGTTGCAGAAATGAGCTTTTTAAAGACATTTGATGAATCCCAAAATAATAAAAAAAAATGTGATATTCTATTCAAGGGATAAAACGATCTTTAGTCCTTGAATTTGATACATTTTTCTCATTTAGTCCACATTATTCTTTAAATTAAGTAAATGTTCTTTTTTTAATTATTTTGAGATATATCACTATGATAATTTGTTACATGGAATAAACTTAGAGTGTCACGTCTTCAAATTGATAAAAATCCATGTTTAGGATTAATTTAGACAAGAAAAATGTTTTAGGGACCAAATTGAGAAAGTTATCAAATTCAAGGACTAAAGATTACTCTAGTCCTCTATTGATAGAGATGTGGGGGGGGGGGTAGAGAAATATGATTTCTAGTTTTGAACTTACTCGTAGGTATTAAGCTAACATGCTCTCGTCTTGTGAGACACACTTTGTCTACTCATTGGTTTTATTTATGTAACGAAAATTAATTTTGGTGAAAAAAAAATCTTTTAAGAATATGAAAATGACATTTTGAAATTAATATTGAAACTGATGCAAGATATTTAGGATCTTTAATTGCTTTTGGATTCTTCTAAAATTATGATATGACTTTTCTTTTTCTTTAAATTGATAAAGATGTTTACTTAATTTCAAAAAAAATTATGATTATGACTTAAATTAATTGTAATGCATGAATAAAAGACTGAAAACCCGAAATTAAGACTAAAAATCAAAATTAAAAAATATATGGACTTATATCGGGCAAAATAATAATAAAATATGATAAGAATACACAAGTACTAAAACTCGAATTAAGATAGTCACGATACCATGTATCAACCTCGTCAACCAATACATTATTGGGTTTTTTTTAGTGCAATGACTGAACAAAACCCTAGTTTTTCTTATTTAATATGATAACTATTTTGGGCAAACATAAGTATAAGTCAACCCCATTTTCTTCATAATTTTAAGGAATGTCTTATGTGTAATTCTTTTGGTTATTTGTCCCTTTTTAAAGAAAACTTAATAGCATTATTATGTAGGACAAATATAATATTTATATATATATATATATTTTTTGATTTCTTATATATATATATATATATATATATAATTTTGATTTAGATTTAGTTCTCACAAACTAATATCATTACTAACGTAATATCATTTTATATTAATAATATATATATATATATAATTAACTAAAATTAATATATTTTTAATATTTGTTCATATGATGCGCAAATCAAGTTATTTTAATGGTTAAAAAGATGGTTGTTATCCTAAAGATGTCAGGTTCGAGTATCAGTGATTTTAGGGGATGTTTGGATAGGGGAATGTGGGATTCTCCCGGGAATTGAATCCACATTCCCCCGTTTGGATTGGCCGGAAATGTCATTCCCGGTAATATTTTATTATCAATAGTGAATTTTTTGGGGTATATTACTGGGAATGTCATTACCTTCCTTCCCTTAGGTATTGTAACATTGCTAGTGTTTTGGACTAAAATGCCCTTATATTTTTATTTTTTTTCAAAAATTTCATTCTTCTGTCATTGAATAATAAAAATTCTACGAAAGGTTAAATTACAAATTTATCCTTAAACTATTTAGATTACAAAAAAAGTATATAATTAAAATTTTATATGAAGTTCAGGGGCTAAAATAAAATTTTACCCTTTCATTAAACCTTTTTTATATTTTTAATTTTGTAAAAAATATATATATAAATTTTATGAATTTAAATTTTTTTAAAGAAAATATATATATATTTTTCAACTTGTAATATTATACAAATATATAATAAGGACAATTTGGTCAAATATACATTCCAATAATCTTTTATTCCTTTAATCAAACACGATAATCTTACATTCCTGCTAAACCAACCAAACACAAAATACAACATTTTCAGTAATCCTATTATCTGGTAATCTTTTATTCCCACTGGTAATCTTACATTCCGTAAACCAAACACACCCTTAGAATATTTGAGTATAAATTATCAAATAATTGAGAATCTCTAGGACGTACTATCACTCATAATCACGCTAGATTAATAAAAAATTTATTTCTATGATCGAATACTGGATTAATACTTTCAAGTAGAACATCAAAATTACAAGTTTACAACATCAAAGGAAGGAGGGCCACAGATTGGCCAGATTAGGTGGAGCGTGAAATACACGTACGTAGAGATGCAGGAATTACACCGAAGCGACCGGCTCCTCGTCATTTGGTAATAATACGGTCGGACGCACGACCTACATCGAACAGATGAATGATAATAATATATTAAAACAAAAAAGGCTGACATTTGCAGAGATTCTGCTGTGTTATGAAAAAGAGGGTTGTTTTATATTTTTTTAATTTTTTGAATTATTTCTCATAATATTTTGATTGGGAATAACAATTTTTAAGGCGAATAATAATAATAATAATAATAATAATAATAATCTTTTTTGTTTTGTAGTAAATTTTTTTTTAACAAAGTCAACCTAAAACCAAAATTAGCAAGGGATAGAGATTGAAAGAGTAATCCAAAAGATTTTATGAATGGAAAAGAGAAAATAAATCCAAAAATATGGTTAGACATAAGCAAAAAAAATCAATATTTTAATCAGTTAGTCAATGCTTAATGGACTTATCCAAATTTTGCAAGATTTGTTTAAACTAATGTTGAAATAACTTGAAGCTATTTGTTTCGGGTTTTGATCATTTAGGTCTCATTGAAAACGATCATTTTGGATTTGACTTTTTATTATTACATCAACTTCATCATATTTATTTTCAGATTCAGATTTATTAATATTATCGATCTAATATTTAATGTTGTTTTCGAATAGTTTTAAATAATAAATAAATATAATAAACTAATTAAAAAAGAATTATTAAAAAATATATTTTAAAAAAATAAACTTTAACTTTTTTTTATACTACTCATGTCTAATTTGTAAGGATGATTCTTCTACGCTCAACGAGCAGCGATGAGTACCACTAATGACGAATACCATTAATTTAATTTATAAAAATTTAAATTCTATAGTAATCAACGTATAATTATAATTAGTTAAAAATTTAAAGATAAATTATTTAAAATAAAGGGTAATTATACCAGTGATCATCTAACTATTGCCCCTTTTCATTTTAACCAATATATTTGAAATTTTGTCAATCAAGTCACTCAACTATTTAAATGCATTCAATTAAGCCACTTTCCGTTAATGTTTAACGGAGAGGATGATGTGACATTTAAAATATTTGGTATAATTACACATTTGGTCATTGTTACTTATATATTCTATCAATTTGGTCATGATTTTAATAAATTAAAATAAACTTAACCCTCAAATGAAATGGTGCCATGTATAATGACCCAAAATTCAACTTTTTATTTTAATTTATTTTAATTTTAAAAGTTATGGCATATTCTATATTTATAACAAAACAAAATTTATAACGAAACATTTTTCTAAAAAATGAATAACTCAAGCAATAATTTAATAATTAAATTTAAAGTAAATTAAATTTATCGCCCTTTTGATATAGGTCAATCTCTTAGTGCAAAATTTTCATGCTAAGTCCACCGGGAATTTATCAGTATAACTTTTATTAAAGATGGATAAAATTTTATTGTGGGAGATGAATTTAAAATTTT